TATTTCCTTTATATAGTTAAGGAAACTCATGATGTTAAAGATAAGTCTCACACCAAGAAATGATGATGCCAGGAAGTAAATCAGATAATTAAATATTTTAAAATATAGCCCTCTTACAGTACACGATGCTTTTCCAGAGTCTGAATGACCTGGGAAATTTGGTGTGTAGTGAGCTAGAACAAAGAGGGGAGAGTCTCTCGGCTCTAATGAACCAATCTCTCTGTCAGGTTCATGAGTAAAAGAGACAAAGGGTTTTTCTACCCCCAGGACAAAGGGATGGTATTTAATCCTAATCCACTTGGTATCACTCTATGTACCTTTGTGTTGCTTAACCTGGGACATATGTATCCCCAGGAAAGGTAGAAAAGAAAAAAAAAAAAAAAGTCCAGAATAATCACTGATTATAAGAGTCACAGTACTCAGTATGGAAAGGTGAGGAGTACTCTAAAATTCCAGCTACGTGTTAGAAACAAATTCAGGGGGCATCTGGGTGGTTTAGTGAGTTAAAGCCTCTGCCTTCAGCTCAGGTCATGGTCCCAGAGTCCTGGGATAGAGCCCTGCATTGGGCTCTATCTTGTCTCCCCTGCCTGCTTCTCTGCCTACTTACGATCTTTGTCTGTCAAATAAATAAATAAATAATCTTTAAAAAGAATTAAAAAATAAAAATAAATTCAGATATGTTGTTCCTTGATTCCTTCACCAGCTGCTTACCTAGTATCAACTACTTGGGCACAACATATGTGAACAGCCCATAAAGCCTCATGGAGTTTATATTCTACTGGAGAGACAGATTACATAGAGATGGGAAATTCAAAGTAATTTTTTTTAAAAATAATACAGGAAAGGTCATAAACTTACACAGTTTGCCTTGATAACTCTTAGGGAGTAACCCTCACCCACCCTTCGTACTAGAGGTATTTGGGAGAAAATATTGAGACTTATGGAATAGTATTCAATGTCAGGACCCAGCCCCAGAGACAGGGACTGGGTCACCTGCAGCCAGGAGAGTACACTTCATGCTTCTGCTTAAAAGCAGCACTTTTGGGGGTATGCTTGAGATCACAGGAATGCTGGTCCAGGGCATGTTAAAGGATACAAGACTGGTAATGGGTATCCAAAGATAAAAGGGAGTCTGTGAGTCCAAAAAGGAAATTTTGAATGTTCCGTGTCCCTTTGTAGATGCAGTATACACATTAGCCCAGGATATGTTGTAAGGAGTCCTTAGAAAATGTATCTCTTTATTCTTTTAACAATGTGTTTCCTTTTTTAACTTGTGTTTTGTTGTTGTTTGTCCTGATGAACTCTTCTTCACTGAATGTCAGATTCCAGACTGTAAGACGTACCATTACTTCATTGGCTATGAAGAAAGAATAAAACAAATTATGATTGTAATGTATTGTCAGTTATGAGACACATTCTGATTCGAGAGGTGTTAACATGTGAAAAAAAAGTGAAACTTGGAACCATTGGATAGAATCAAATTTGGTTCTTAGATACGTCAAACTAATTGGGCTTTTCTTCTCCGAGCCAGGCTGTGTTGTGATTGTTCACTCTTATTATTTTATTTTAATTACCATAAATGAATATTACAGGATACTAAGGTTGTGGCCCAGATAATTCTCTGATCAAGGATGATTTGCATTTCTTTTCCATAACATAGAATTGGTGCTTTGGAGGGGTACCCACCAGTGACTATGTGTGCATGTGTATGAATTCTGGGTGCAGGATAGGATGCTTGAAGCTTAGGAGCTAGAGTCCCCACTGGGTGTGGTCTTGCCACTAGTTCTGGACAATGGAGTGAAAGCAGAGATAATGCACCTCACTTCTGAGCAGAGGTATCTAGGCATCTGTGCGTCTTCCTATGCTCTTTTCATGTTCCACAGCAAGCTTAGAGACTGCATAATGAATACGGTATCATAATGAAATAAGAGAATCTTGGATCCATGAAACATTCTTGGAGTACCTCCAATCAGGAATATTCTCATTGAGCATGGCCTGAGCCAGAAATCAAGTTGTATTGTTAGCCTAACCTAACACAGGTCAGTTTTGGCCTTTCTTTATTTCTTATGAAATAGGCAGTGCCTGCCAAATAATATCAAACACTTCTTCCAAAACTCTGATGAAGATGGAAATTCCTCAACTGATGGAATGATTATGGGTGCTGAGTTGACCTTGCTCAGGAGTAGGAATGCAAGTTGCTCCCCATCCCACTGCTGGCCGAGTCTCTACCACTACAGCCAGGATGTAATTATTACTGTATTGTGGTAGAAATTATGGGCCCAGTAGTTTCTCTTTTGTAATACATATAATACATACCCTGCCTGCCTACTGGCAGGGGCACACAGAACTGAGATCTCTTCGACTAAGGTCAGTAGATCATAGTGTGTTAATCCTATAGGGAAAAAAAATCATCTTTATAAGGCACTATCATTAATTCCCCAGTCATAGCTAGGAACGTTTTTCAGGAAGACTTCTATAAAATATGTGTATTAACGTCTCATGAAACACAGTCTGGGAAATTGTCATGAACTCTTTGTCTTACTCTTCATGTTGACCATCATGGGATTTTCTCTTTAGCAATAGGAAGAAAGGGGATCTGCTCTATTACACACATATTACTCTATTCACTTAAGTGTTGTGTTCTAGTAATGGGGTCTCCTTATGAACACACGTTTGTTTCTTAAAAGATGGAGTGTGTGTGTGTGTGTGTGTGCATGCGCGCGTGTAGTGGGGGGTAGAGGTATGAGGCATGAGGTCTAGGCAATACAGAGCATTAGAATATTATTAACATGAGGTAATTTTCTTTGCATTTTAGAAGGATTGCTTTGATTTCAAGATAAGGGATGGATTAGAAGAGTTAAGACACTGGAAGAAATGAGAGACGCGTTAATAGTGTATTCCACTAATCTAGGCCAAGGGATATATTCAGTGGTAATGCTAATAGAAACGAAGAGTGACATTTTAGAATTATTTTATAGATCCAACTCTCTAGGAAATGGTAGAATGTTTTATTTTTAAATATAGGTTTTATTTTTCATGTGTGGTGAGACCAGTGGATCAAGAGATGATTGCCATTGAAAATAAGGTTTGTTACAGTTCCCAAGAGGGAGGCTGCACACCACCCCATGCAGAACCATATGGGGAAGCACCAGCATCAGTCAGGAGGCAGAAGGAGCAAGCAGAAGGCATGGGCAGGAGGTTTTGTTGTAGTTTCTGTGGGAAAGGCAAGGAGATGTAGGGTAAGCAGGCTTAGAATTGGTTACTTTGAATAATTTCAGGAGGCTGCAGGGTCCAGAGACTTTCTCTAGGTTATCTAGTACCTGGTCCTTTGATGATTAGGGCAGAAGAATATTGCCTCCTACAGGATGAGTTTTGAATTGGTTCATTGGCACATGAGAAGTGAATAACAGGGCAAATCACTTGCTCTTTCTAAGGATTGGCTGGCCCTGGGAGGGGCGGTGATACTAGTCAGCTAGGCTAGATGCCAAAACAATAAAAATACAGGAAATAAGAAAATATAGTTAATACACAGTTGATGAGAAAAATGAGGAAATCAAAGCAATTTCCAACTGGAATGACGATGTGGAAGTGAAATGCTATTAACTTTCCAGAGAACTAAACTTTATTGAGCACCTACTATGACCTTTATATCATCTCAATCCTCAAAGCAAAGCTTTGACAATGGGACTATTTTTAGCTTAATTTTACAGCCGTGTTGACAAGGACTGCAAGAGTTTGTGCACAGTCCCACAAACTGCGGGACATGCTCCCCCACAGCTTGATTTTAGGTATGTTGAGTCTGAGATGCCTGCAGAGTATCTTGGTAGAAGTATCTAGGACACAATGCCAGGAATATTCCCACTTTTACATCTGTTCTTACTTAACAGAAATGTGCCTTGCACTTGCTACATCACAGCTACTGCTCTAAAACTTCACAAATACCAGCTTATTTAACCCCATAGCAATACCTAGAGGTATTTATTATTATACCCATTTTATTCATATGTTTACTGATTACAATAGCTACCAATTTATGGAAACACTGACAAAGCACACACTATGCTAACAACTTTATATAAATTAAAGTTGATCAGGTAAGACAAATGTGATCATCTCCATTTCAAAGACTAGAAACCAAGGCTTAATGGCTTGCCTCATTTGACTACTATCACATGGCTTGGTTTTTACGAATTTCATAAATGTGAGTTTCTGTTGTAATGAAAACCATTGTCCCATTTTGCAGACTAGAAAGTAAGGATCAGTAGTAGCCATGGGGCCACAAGTTACCCAAGCTCAATTTGAATTTCAGTGTATGTGATACTTCATTCCAATCTTTTCCCAATATCCCTGTGCTTTTCAAAAGGAGGTTCACTAGAGCTGCACTTTCAATCAGTTTCAGAAACATGAGTTCTTCACAGGATTTCACAAGAGCTGCCATTACTATGGGCTGAATTATATTCTCCTCAAAATCCCTACTGAATTCAGTCTTCCAGTACCTCAGAACATGACTGTGTTTTGGGACTGGACCTTTAAAAAAGTTTGCATTTTAGAAGGTAAAATGAAATCATATAGGTAGGTCCTAATCCAAAATGGCTGGTGTCTATCTAAGAAGGGGAAATTTGGGCACAGATGCACAAGGGGGGAGAGACCAAGTGAAGATAGCCACCTGTAAGCGAAGGAGAGAGCCTAAATCAAGCCCACTGACACCCTGGTCTCAGCCTCCCAGCCTCTAAGACTTCATAAGCAAATAAATGTCTGTCCTTGAAGCCACCCAGCCTGCGGTAATTTGTCATGGTGGCCCTAAGAAACTAATACACAGGGCGAGTTTCCACTACTAAAGCCAAACTGGAAAGCCACCATCCTGGACTGTTGCACAGGCCGTTCGACCGGTCTGACTGATTTCCCAAGTTCACTAACTGGGAGGTCAGATGACTTCCCGGGATCAAAGCCAACTTCCTCTTGCTCTTACTTGGACCACTGATCTGCAGACGTTTTGTTCTTTCTCTTGTAACTTCCTCTCCTGTGACTGGGGACATAAATATTAGAGAAACAAAAGCCCAGAATGCTAAGGTTGCCACTCTCACTTCCTCTTGCCCCTGAACCAGCAGCAGCACTGCTCTGAATATCTTAATCATCCCGGGGCACCCAGCGGGGCAGAGAGAAGGCGGCAGTGCCCCAGTGACCACCCCAGCAGGCGGATACAACGTGTCATGTTTCACAGAGCCACTTCTGGGCACAGAAAATGCCAGAATGATGTCTCCTACCCGCCTGGCTGGGATGCTGATCCCAGCCATGGCCTTCCTCTCCTGCCTGAGACCTGAGAGCTGGGAGCCTTGTGTGCAGGTATGTGGCTCTGAGTCAGTTCTTCTCTTGGGAGATTTGCCTTGCTTCTGAAAAACTGCTCTCTGCCTAGAACTTCCCACTGTGGCTCCCTCCTAGCTGGCTAGTTACATTTGCAACAAGGAGTCAAATTACCTGAAGGATTTGAAAAGCCACAGGGACCGAAGAGTTCATGGTTATATCGCACCAACAGGCAGCCCGTGGGCTCATGGCCCATTTAGGACTTTTAGGGCTAGTAGGGGCTTTACATCAGAGAGATCTACTTAAAATCACTGTTCTTTGACTTCTGGGCTGTGTGACCTTGAAGAAGTTATTAAACCTCTCTGAGGCCAGTTTTTACATCTATAGCAGTCTTATAATAACACCTACTTCAGTAGAGAGTTGTAAGAGGTCTGCTTCTTGTCATTTCTTTCTGCTGGTGGATTGTACTCTCAGCTTCAGGCACTTACTTTGCTCCTCTCAATCTCAGGAAGGTGTTTTGTTTTGTTTTGTTTTGTTTTGCCTTTTGTCTCTTAATAGTGAGAACTTTCTAAGTGGAGTTCAGACTTTTAGATCTAGCCTTTTCATCAAAGGATGAAAAGAAATGAAATTGGAAAAGAAAAGTGGAGAGAGAAAAATAAAGAAAAAAGATGGAGAGAGAGAGAGACAAACAGAGAAGGGGGAAAAAGAGAGAGAGAGAACCATGTAAAATGACAGCTAATCTAATGGTTTCTTTCTTTTGTGAAACACCAACTAACTTTTGCGTAATCTCATTCATGATGGATCTCTTTTGTTTTCCCCTGTGTGGACTTCACAAGTGCTTGGAAAGCCCATGGTAGAACCCAAAAACTGAGGGAATGTCCTGAGATTTAGTGTGTGGCCGGGTCAGAAACTCAGGAAAAGCATAACCGGCCAAAGTCCTGAGAATGAGAGCATTGGTGAAATAAGACACTTTAATATATAACAAAGATGAATTTGTCATCTCAAAGTCCTCCCTTCCTCCAACTCCCTGCCCAGAGCTCTGCTCATTGTCTTCTCTGTGTCCATCCTTCTTAGGTTAATGGGAATGGATCCTCTAATCAGTCACCCCCAGATAAAATCACACCTTCCCTTCCCCTATGCCCCATATTCTCAGTCTCCAAAACCTGTCCAACCCTGCCCATTCACTCAGTGTCATCCTAGGGCAGGTCCTCAGTGTCCCTTGCCTTGATTCTTGGATAGTTACTGGTCTCCTACTTCTTGGTCTCCTTTCCACTCTAATTCATTCTGTACATTTTTGTTTGTTCTTTATTTGTTGTTGTTTTGCCCAAGGTTCAGTTCTAACAAATTGCCCTCTTAACAGCTTGTTATAACTTCTGTATGCTATTAGGACAGTATGCTACCTAAGGGCCTTTGCACTGACTATTTCCTCGGGCCAGAATGCTTTCCTCCTAAATCAGTGCTGCCCAAAGGTAATACCATGTAGGTCACATGATCTTATTTAAATTTAAACAATAAATGTAACTAAATTTAGCCAAATTTTTACTTACCTAAATTTTAGCTGTTTGTTGATTTATTTCTGGAAGTTAATAATTGTTATTGTATTTACTGACTATTCCAATGTCTTTTTTTCTCCCCTAGAGAAAGAGAAAGAGAGAGCATGCCTGTGTGTGAGTGAAGGGAGAGGGGCAGAGGGAAAGGGAGAGACTCCCAAGCAGACTGTGCTGAGTGTAGAACCTGTCGGGGGGCTTGTTTCACAACCCTGAGATGAAAACCCGAGCCAAATTAAGAGCCAGTCACTTAACTGAATGAGCCACCCAGATGCCCCCATTCTAATGTCTTTATAAGTTTTTTTTTTAATTGAAATTCAATTAGCCAACATATAGTACATCATTAGTTTCAGATGTAGTGTTCAATAATTCATCAGTTAAACATAGCTTTAAATTTTCTGGTAATCACATTGAAAAATTAAAATTGGTAAATTTAATTTTAATAATATTTTTATTTAACCCAGTATATTCAAAATATTATTTGAAAATGTAATATATACTAAACTATTAATAAAATACTTCACATTCTTTCTTTGGTACTAAGTGTTTGCGATTTAGTATGCATTTTACAGTTTCCCTGTCTCTCAGCTTGGACTAAATGTCTCATGCTCAATAGCCATGTGTGGCTAGAGGCCACCATGTTGGGCAGTGCAGTCTTAGATTTCTTCATGACTTAATCCTTCACTTCACACTTGATCTTAGCCAAAAGGCCGAGAAGTGATAAATCCCTCACTTCATTTATATTTCTGCCTAAATGTCACCTCCTTTTGGAAGTATTCCTTGATCACCTCATGTAGAACTTGCCAACCCCCATATTTCCTTCTTTTTTTTTTTTTTAAAGATTTTATTTATTTATTTGACAGAGAGATCACAAGTAGGCAGAGAGGCAGGCAGAGAGAGAGAGAGAGGGAAGCAGGCTCCCCGCCAAGCAGAGAGCCCGATGCGGGGCTCGATCCCAGGACCCTGGAATCATGACCTGAGCTGAAGGCAGAGGCTTTAACCCACTGAGCCACCCAGGCACCCCCCCCCCGCCATATTTCCTTCTAATCTCTAGATGCTTTATTTTTTATAGCATATTATTAAACATTTTTTGTGTATTTGTTCATTTGTCCTTCCCTTTGATATGGGATCTATAAGTGAACAACACCATTGCTGATTTTTATTTACCTCTATATCCCAGTGTTTTGTGCTGGTCTCAGCCTATCAGTAACCCATGTTGTGGCTGGACCAGCCCCCTTTGGTTCTTTATGATTGTAAGATACCCTTAAGAGATGACCATCAGGAAATTTTGAGAAACTGGAAGTTTATTACTGTGAGACCTGGAAATTACACAGCACAAGTAGGACCACCCAGCAATACTGAGGGTAAAGAGAAAAAGCTCTCAAGCATGTGAAGTTCTATTGTTATTGGGGTTAAGGAGGGGGGACTAGGTTTTCCCTGGCTCCCTCTTTATTGGTGAGTTTAAAACATAAGAGCAAGGATTGAGGAAGGGGTGGTGGAAAGAGGGGGCAGGAAGAAGGCCAAGCGAGGAGAAGTGGCCCGGCTCTTTATCTAGTCATGTGGCTGGCACTGTGTTTCTTGGAGATAGCCCTCTTTGAAGTGGATGCTTCCCTTGTCAAAGCTTAAATCAGACAGTTGCATTACAAGAAGAGCCAACTGCCAAGGCTTACACTATACCCAGCGCCTAGCACATCGTAGGTGCTCAACTTTCACATGTTGTATGATTAAAAGCATTGCCACAGGGCTCTGGCTTCCCCACGTACTTAGGTTTTAACACTCCTACTTCGTACCAGCTGCTCTGAGTTAGTTTCCATCTCTTCTTGCTTACACTGTTCTCTCCCTCTTCCTCTTTCCATGTATCCAAATCTTACTCATCCTTTAAGACTCACCTTGAAATCCTCTCTTTCTCAGAAGCCATCTGTAATCCCTGGATCTGGAATTGATCACTACCATATATGAGCAGAAGGAAGTTATTGTCCAGGCCTGGCTTATGGTCCTTTTCAGTAATGTGAGTCCTGTTCCTACCTCAACTCTTCCTCTGATTGTGAGATCACTGAAGTCTAGAGCCAAATCACATGGGTCATGGCACAGTCCACAGCACTTAGAGAAAATGGCTACAATTTGAAGATTTAAGCAAACCTTCATTCAATCAGTTATTAATTCATTTATTCAATAAATAGTAAGCATTAACCATTTTCCAGGTACAATTCTGAGTGCTGGAGCCATGCAGAGAGCAAGAAAACCAAAGCTTACAACCTAATGAGGGAAATGAACAACACAAATGGAAAAATCACACAGATAATTTATGATAGATGGTGATGCACTGTGTGGAGGTAGATGGAAGAGAGTAAAGAAAGGAAGCCTGGGGCCACCTGGGTACCTCAGTTGTTTAAACCTCTGCCTTCGGCTCAGGTCATGATCTCAGGGTCCTGGGATCGAGCCTCACATCGGGTTCTCTGCTCAGCTTAGAGTCTGCTTCCCCCCCTCTCTCTGCTTGTCTCTCTGTCTACTTGTGGTTTCTCTCTCTGTCAAATAAATAAATAAATAAATCTAAAAAAAAAAAAAAAGGAACAGAAGGAAGCCTGTCACCATCTGCAATTACACAGTATGGTCTGGGAGGCTCCTATAAGGGACATTTCAGGAGACATGCCAATGAAGCCAAGAGCTGCACATGTGACCTGTGATACTTTATGCATATTACTTCTCTCTGAGTTCTTCTTTAAAAGGTTTATTTGAGAAGACATACAAATGGCTATCAGACACATGAAAAAATGCTCATCATCACTAGCCATTAGGGAGATTCAAATTAAAACTACATTGAGATACCACCTTACACCAGTTAGAATGGCCAAAATTAGCAAGACAAGAAACAACGTGTTGTTGGAGGGGATGTAGAGAAAGGGGAACCCTCTTACACTGTTGGTGGGAATCCAAGTTGGTGCAGCCACGTTGGAAAACAGTGTGGAGATTCCTCAAGAAATTAAAAATAGAGCTTCCCTATGACCCTGCAATTGCACTACTGGGTATTTACCCCAAAGATACAGATGTAGTGAAAAGAAGGGCCATCTGTACCCCAATGTTTATAGCAGCAATGGTCACGGTCGCCAAACTGTGGAAAGAACCAAGATGCCTTTCAACGGACGAATGGATAAGGAAGATGTGGTCCATATACACTACGGAGTATTATGCCTCCATCAGAAAGGATGAATACCCAACTTTTGTAGCAACATGGACGGGACTGGAAGAGATTATGCTGAGTGAAATAAGTCAAGCAGAGAGAGTCAATTATCATATGGTTTCACTTATTTGTGGAGTATAACAAATAACATGGAGGACATGGGGAGATGGAGAGGAGAAGGGAGTTGAGGGAAATTGGAAGGGGAGGTGAACCATGAGAGACTATGGACTCTGAAAAACAACCTGAGAGTTTTGAAGGGGCAAGGGGTGGGAGGTTGGGGGAGCCAGGTGGTGGGTATTAAGGAGGGCACATATTGCATGGAGCACTGGGTGTGGTGCAAAATCAATGAATACTGTTACGCTGAAAAGATATAAAAAAAAAAAGGTTTATTTGACGATTAAAGTATATAACATATAAGAAATAAATATGCCCACATGTGACAGGAGATTAATAATAACTGCTAATAATAAATGTTAACATTTATTGATCATTTTCACTTTAATAGGCATTGAGATAATCTCTTTAAATACCTTATTTCATTTAATCCTTTTAACAGATTCTATGTTTTTTTTTAATTTTTTAAAGATTTTATTTATTTATTTGACAGACAGAGATCACAAGTAGGCAGAGAGGCAGGCAGAGAGAGAGGGAGAAGCAGGCTCCCCACTGAGCAGAGAGCCCAATGTGAGGCTCGATCCCAGGACCTGGGATCGTGACCTGAGCTGAAGACAGAGGCTTTAACCCACTGAGCCACCCAGGTGCTCCTTGGTTTTAAACACTAAACCAAAGTTAGCTAGCTTAAGGAAGAAATTTTGTTGAAGAAATCAGAGAATTCATAAATTAAATGTGAGGTTAGAGAATAAGCGCTTACAAAGAATTTGGGAAAGTATGATGGAAACGAGCACATGAACCAAAGGAGCATAAACCACTCGACTTTGTTTACTAGGTTTCACCATTGGAATCCACACATCCTAAAGATTTTTCCCCATTTCTGTATCACCTTCTCAAAGATCAATGAGTCAAGGGAGAGAATGCCAATGGCAAAAATTGAGCTATGATTGTGAGATGTGGACACCTTAACTGGTAGTCTCCCCAGGGCTGTATACAGTTGTGGGGTCCTTAGGGAAAAACACTTTGCCCCAAATCACATAGAAGAACTGGGTGAAATGCAGGGCTTTTGACTCCAAAGCCTCAGCTCTTTACTACTTCATTCCATTGACTCCCTCTAAATGCTGTCTTCGTGATAGCAGAGGTTGGAAAACCAGGGACATAGTAGGTGCTCCCCGTTCCAAATCTGGTGTAAGAGATTTTAGAATTATAAAGTGAGTGAATGGATGAATGAATGGATGGGTGGTTGGATGGATATACGGATGGATGGCTGGATGATGGCTGGATGATTGGATGACAGATGGGTGGATGGATGGATGATCAGAGGATGGATGGATGGATGGATGGATGGCCCCTGTGCTTATACTGGAGGTCTCCAAGGTTCTGGCCTAGGAGAAGAGAGTGGAAAAGGCAATTAGGTTGCATGAATTCAGACACTGTATCTAATATGTGATCATTGCAGGTGGTTCCTAACATTACTTACAAATGCATGGAGCTGAATCTCAACAAAATTCCCAACAACATTCCTACATCAACCAAGAAACTGGACCTGAGCTTTAATCCCCTGAGGCATTTAGGCAACCATAGCTTCTCCAACTTCCCGGAACTACAGGTGTTGGATTTATCCAGGTAATGAATGAGATTTTACACACTGCCCAAGGTAAAATGCTCACTGTTCTATCACTTCATTCTTATGTCAGGAGTCTCATCTTTATTCACTTATTCATTCAACAGATATCTTACTTGCTGTATAACTTCATGTGAGCCACCTCCCTTCTCCTGATCTCATTGCCTTATCTGTGAAATGAGCAGCTGGTTGAAAAAGTTTTTAAGGACAGTTCTACTTTTTGATATAGCTTAAGTCAAGGGAGAAAATTGACTCAAACTCTTTCACTAGCAGATGATTACTAACTACTTCCTATATATTATACAGTCTGCTAGGAAACAAGAGTATATTGATATATACACTTTAGCTATTAAGCTATTAAGGTGGGCATACACACCTGAAAGAAGTAACCTGTTACAATCCTTAGCATGGTGCTAATCACATAGTGGGCATGCAATAAATGTTACTTAATTCTGATTCTGGATTTTGAACCTGAGATAGGATGGCAATATAGACCAGTTAAGTGATAAGCTGTGCACAAACTAGAGGCAACATATTGTGTTGTTCAGAAAAGGGGGCTTCTCTGCAGTGGGTAGTGAAGACAGATGTTGTGAACTGAGTGGGATTCAAATATGTCTAGAATATTGAAAGTGGGATAGAGGATAGGGAAAGAAGAAGATATAAGTAATCCAAGGAGGATGATGACAAGATCAAAGGAAAATATCTATTGTGAGAAAGAATAGTGACTAAGATTTTCTTTTCTGATGCAGGGAAATTTATCATTTATTAGGGCAGGTGAAAGTATTATCATTATTTTGGGGGGTAACTGAATCCCAAAACTATTATCATCATTAGGCCCATATTTTAATAAAATGTACTAGATAATGAATCATATTCTCTGTAAGAGTTTGTGGAAAATGCAGAAGCATTTTATATATGACTTTTTATTATAGAAACATGTATTAAATTCTAAGATCATAGCATGAAAATCCTCTTTATAGTGGGTATTTCTGTAGAAAGAAGAGTGGGCATTTGATGTCTTATACTCTAACTTGGAAACTGACAGAGTATGTAACAAAGGAGGAATGGAGCATTTTAAATCCAGTGGGATAGAGCATAGAGCTCTGTGGGGGTCAGAAGACCCAAGCTGGGCCCTCATCTACCATTTACATCTATGTGGACTGAGGCATGTGACTTCATCTCTCTGAGTGTCAGTTCTCATATCTGTGAAGCAGAAAGGGTGAAACTTAACCCACAGGGATAAATGTGATAGTGAATATTAGCATGTATATGTATTAAGAACCTTACAGAGTTTATAAGAATAAAAATATTATTATAGCACTTCATTAGTTTCTAAATTTCAGTTTTCTGAGTAAGAACTTTGCCAAGGACTATAGTTAAGATAGACAAATCATCCTTCACCCTTTTTAAAACAAGAAGTAGCTTCTCATCAAACAATATCCCTTATAATTCATCTTTGATCCACACCTACACAAGGAACTTCCCTCAGAGGCCTTAACAATGTGCCTGGAGAGAGGACAGGTCCCCCTCAGGTTAGCCAGGAGGAGGATATCCTGGCTTCAGACAGGAACAAACATAGTACCAAAGATATCCCTTACCTTTTTGTATTCCTTCACAATGTTCACATATAGTAACTCAGCTAGTCCCCTAGACAGCCTTTCATTCCTATGGAAACCTATTGACATATTTGTTTTCTTTTTTAGATGAAGAAACTGAGGCTCAGAGAGTTTTGGTAATTTATCTACATTCACGCTCTACATTTTTTGGAGTTTGTTGGCAGCAGAGATCCATATTTGCATCTCCTGCTTCCAAAGCTAAAGGTTCTCTTCATCTTTATGCTCTGCTCCTCCAAAGTGATAAGCTCCCTTTGATGAGACAGAGACACAGCAAGATTCCTCCAGTCTTGCCTAATACATAAGATTACAGGTTATACAATCCTAGACTGGAAAGCAACGTGAGAAATAATCAAGTTTAGCTCCCTCATTTAGAAAGGGGATAACTGAGATCCACAGAGATATGAGAAGATCGCAGAGACACCAGAACTGAGATGTCTTGCCCTTCTTTTCTAGTGTTCTACCTGTGACACCCACCACCCTCTGTCAAGCTGCCAGTCAATAAAAGCTTGGGCCAAAATGCTTTTATTACCCCTGACCCTCATGGAGGGGATAGGACAAGTAGAGAAATTGTAAATGTAAATCAGGTTAGACTAGGAAATAACTCATTTGCAAATGCTAACTGGCATGTATCTATAGTGCTAGCAAGAGGCTTGCCATTTGTTGGCTGGGTAAGAGCCTTGTCTCTACGACACTTCCGTGAATATTGTATAGAGTATAGCTGCCATTTCTCTTGGGGCAAAATTCAAAATGCTTTTCCAGTCGGTAAGCCTCTGCTTTGTATCCTTCTTTCTCCACAACCTCATCTCACACACCCTCCACCCCACTCTGTACACCAGACACAGAAGTTTCTCATGGTTTCTCATGGTTCCTCCATGCATCATGGCTGTCACCTACCTCGGGGCTCTTGTATCTGCTCTTCAGCTCACTTTCTTTTCTTGGTAATTCCTACTCATCCTTCAGATTTCAACTGATAGGCTCTCAGAGAGGTCTACTTTGATCTCCCTTGTCTAGGTCCATTTCTTTAACCTAAGGTTTCGGAGTACACGTTCCTTTTCTTCCACTGAACTCACTTCTACCGACCGTTGCTAACATTTACCTATGATAACTACAACTACAAATATATAGCTAACATATATGGAGAGCTTTGCATAAACCTTGAGGGTATTTGTGACCTTGTGTGTAATTTTTTTATATCCTTGAAATGGACATTTATCAGTCATTTATCATGCCTAAGAGCTAATGGCTATCTTCACCATCTGTACCAATCTGAGGGATAATCACAATTACATGTGGCAGGAAATGGCTGAAGTTAACCCAAGGCAGTTACATACTCTACGAGCCATACAGTCTTCATGTGCCCCAATTATTGATCTTTAACTGATTTCCTTCTGAGGGATGTCCTGCCTCTTCTTAGCATGTGTGCCTTGTATGACAAAAAGAGTCTGTCATTGTGTCCAGTAAGGTAATACTGAATCTGTGAGGCTTCTTATTTGCTCATGTCATCATCTGTCCTGCTTCATGTCTCTGTCAATGAATATTCATATGTCATGTCACATCTCTGTGAAGAGCTAGAAGATTGGCATGGTTATTCCTTTTTGACTTTTAATTCAGCAGAAATATTATATAATCTGTATCTCTTTTCCCTGTAGGTGTGAAATTGAGACCATCGAAAATGATACATATCAGGGCCTAAACCACCTCTCCATCTTGATATTGACAGGAAACCCTATCCAGAAGTTTTCCACAGAAGCCTTTTCTGGACTCTCAAGTTTACAGACTCTGGTGGCCGTGGAGACAAACCTACATTCTCTAGAGGACCTCCCCATTGGATATCTCAAAAACTTGAAGGAGCTTAATGTGGCTCACAATCTTATCCGCTCCTTCAAGTTACCTGAATATTTTTCTAACATGACCAACCTGGAGTACTTGGATATTTCCAATAACAAGATCAAAAATATTTATCATAGTGACTTGCAGGTTCTACATCAAATGCCTCTACTCAACCTTTCTTTAGACTTGTCCCTGAACCCTTTATCCTTTATCCAACCAGGTGCCTTTAAAGAAATTAAACTCCATGAACTGACTTTGAGAAGTAATTTTGATAGTATAGATGTAATGAAAACTTGTATTCAAGGTCTGGCTGGTTTAAAGATCCATCACTTGGTTCTGGGAGAATTTAAAAATGAAAGGAACTTGGAAAGCTTTGACAAATATCTCCTGGAGGGACTGTGCAATTTGACCATTGAAAAATTCCGGATAGCATTCTTTGATGAGTTCTCAGAGGATATCACTGACTTATTTAATTGTTTGGCGAATGTTTCTACAATTTCTCTGGTGCATCTGTTTTTAAAGAGACCACGATACTTTCCTAAAAATCTCAGATGGCAACGGCTGGAAATGGTTAACTGTGAATTTGAAGAATTTCCCAAATGGGAACTGGACTCTCTCAAGGAGTTTGTTTTCACTGCCAACAAAGGCGTGAGCACTTTTACTGAGATGAAGCTGGAAAGCCTTGAATTTCTAGATCTCAGTAGAAATGACCTGAGTTTCAAGGGTTGCTGTTCTTACACTGACTTGGGGACAACCAGACTGAAGCATTTAGATCTGAGCTTCAATGATATTATTACCATGAGTTCTAACTTCTTGGGCTTAGAACAGCTAGAATATCTAGATTTCCAGCATTCCACCTTGAAACAGAGCAGTGACTTTTCAGTATTCCTATCCCTCAGAAACCTCCGTTACCTTGATATTTCTTATACTCACACCCAAGTTGTCTTCAAAGGCATTTTTGATGGCTTGGTCAGCCTCCAAGTCTTGAAAATGGCTGGCAATTCTTTTCGGGACAACTTTCTTCCAAATATTTTCAAAGACCTGACTAACTTGACCATTCTAGACCTCTCTAAGTGTCAGCTGGAAGGGGTGTCCCAGACAGCATTTGGCTCACTTCCTAAACTTCAGTTGATAAATATGAGTCATAACAACCTCTTGTCATTGGATACAGTCCCTTATGAGCCTCTCCTCTCTCTCCAAATTCTGGATTGCAGTTTTAATCGAATAGTGGCCTCCAAGGAGCAAGTACAACAGCATTTTCCAAGTAATCTAGTTTCCTTAAATCTTACTCGGAATGACTTTGCTTGTGTTTGTGAACACCAGAGTTTCCTGCAGTGGGTCAAGGACCACAGGCATCTCTTGGTGGAAGTGGAAGAAATGGTGTGTACCAAACCTTTAGACATGCAGGACATGCCCCTGCTGAGTTTTAGGAATGCCACCTGTCAGAGGAGCAAGACTATCATTACTGTGTCAGTGTTCACTGTACTCATGGTTTCTTTGGTAGCAGTTTTGGTGTATAAGTTCTATTTCCACCTGATGCTTCTTGCTGGTTGCAAAAAGTACAGCAGAGGTGAAAGCACCTATGATGCCTTCGTTATCTACTCAAGCCAGGATGAAGACTGGGTGAGGAATGAACTGGTAAAGAACTTGGAGGAGGGGGTGCCTCCCTTTCAGCTCTGCCTTCACTACAGAGACTTTATCCCTGGTGTGGCCATCGCCGCCAATATCATCCAGGAAGGGTTCCACAAAAGCCGGAAGGTTATTGTTGTGGTGTCCCGACACTTCATCCAGAGCCGGTGGTGCATCTTTGAGTACGAGATTGCCCAGACCTGGCAGTTTCTTAGCAGTCGTGCCGGCATCATCTTCATCGTCCTGCAGAAGGTGGAGAAGTCCCTGCTGCGGCAGCAGGTGGAGCTGTATCGCCTTCTCAGCAGGAATACTTACCTGGAGTGGGAAGACAGTGTGCTGGGCCGGCACATCTTCTGGAGACGACTCCGAAAAGCCTTGCTGGATGGTAAACCATGGAGTCCAGAAGAAATGGCGGATGCAGAAAACAACTAGCATGAAATGGTAACCTCTGCCTGGGAAGGAAAAGCTCCCACGGGGCTCTGTGCCCAGCTGGACCCAGGACTTGTTCAGTTAACGAGTACTAAATGCTGCGATGTCCCTGGCATTATGCTAGGGGCTGATAGTTCAGTGGTGCAGGAGGTTTACAGGACTGCTGACCTCATGGAGTTTAGTGCACAGGGAATAATAGTGTGCTAAATCACATACCTCCAGGTGCATGCTTCCACCAAATCAGCTTAGGAGTCCATGGCATGGAAAGTCAACTCAATTCTTACCCCGTTAAACTCAATTAGAACTAAGAGATGGGGCCCCAGAGAGATCAGAAAAAGATACAATTCTTCACCTGAGTTTTTGGAATGGAAACTACCTCATGTTTTACATGCTAGCTGTCTTAAAGATGTTTGGGCAGTTATGGGGCGCCTGGGTGGCTCAGTGGGTTAAAGCCTCTGCCTTCGGCTCAGGTCATGATCCCAGGGTCCTGGGATCGAGCCCCGCATCGGGCTCTCTGCTCAGCAGGGAGCCTGCTTCCCCTCCTCTCTCTCTGCCTGCCTCTGTCTACTTGTGAGCTCTCTCTCTGTCAAATAAATAAATAAAATCTTTAAAAAAAAAAAAGATGTTTGGGCAGTTTTAACTGAACAAGGTCTTTGCTCACCTTTCCCTCTTCTACTGAATGCAACTTAAATTCCACTCAACTCAGAAGCCTTCTGATTCAGACCCCTTTGCCTCCACTTGAAGCCAGTTTCTTTACAAAGGTTAAAGTCTAGTTACTGATTCCCAAGGAAATCTGATTAACACATATCCACAAACATCCTGGCCATTCTTTAGTATGTTCTATTTATTAACGAATCGTGCCTGGTGCATTTTTGTTTTTACAAAATTTTTACAAAATTTCTCATTTTTCATGTTTACTCTATAAACTCTTATCATAAATAAGACTGTTAGAGACATGCTGGAAATTTCCATATTTAAGCACCATCATTCAAGCAAATATGTATCACTTTGTCACTTGATGTCACTCTAAAAGTTATTACCTACTAGGTTATGACTGTCATGAAGGAAGCATTAAAATAATTTGGTTGAAAGTGGCACTTATTTTAATAGAGAGGGACAAGTCGAAATTCCCAGTTCTGTAATGAGCAATTCGGTGCTAAGGGTATGCCAAGAAATAGGTTGGCCTGGAGGGCAGTTCTTAATGGTCCCAGAAACATAGGGCTGATACAGCTGGGATGACCATGCAACACGAACCACAGTAGTCGCTTCTGCAGGAAATGAGTATTTGCTGATGGAACATTGGCTTGTTCAGGGGATTATGAAATAGTTCAAGGTGGGAAGTGCACACTGCTGCTTCCTGTTGAGTACTACTCCCCATGACCACATTCAGGAAAGAGTAGATATTATCACTGAGAAAATAGTCTCACTGAGGTTAATGTGGTCATGTTAAGGGGAATTCTTAGAAGAACACACACCCTTCTTCTTCTGGAAGAACAATAAAGTAATCTGGAAAATATGGTTGTCAAAACTGAAAACATAGCCACAACCCAGGAGTGTGTTTGTGACTGTTTCAGAGTATATTTTGGTTGGAGCATAACTGGAGTTGTTGAACATGCCTGGGTGTGCTTATAGGTCTTACATGGCAGTGAAAGTAGATCTGTGTCTTTGTGTGCATGCCTCTTTGTGTTGCTGTCTGTGTCTGTGTGTATGCAAGAGTGTGTGTGCCTGTGTGATCATGTCTGCATGGAACAGTGTGATTCTCTTGCAAGGGGAATATGTGCATTTGATGTGGATGTCCACAGCTGTTTGAGATAGTTTCTCTACTCCTGTGTTTGTATGTGATTGCTTATATACGACACCTGTGTTAGATTTGAGTATGCCCGAAGCCGTGTGTTTTTGTGTGTACCCAGGCTATCATGAGTGTGCTTATGTTCATATCTGAGTGCGGGTTCTGCAGATGTGTGTTAGTTAAAGCAAATATACAAGACCCCAAGGAGGAAAATCAAAATGAAGCTGGAATGTTTCTTGTATACAAGGTTGATGCTGGCCTCCTTCCCGTCAGTCCCCTCTCCCAAATGGGGATTCTGAAAATTGCAGGTGAAGCAGATAAGGAGGGAAAGAAACAATAGGATGGAAACATAAGGGGAGGAAAGAGGAAAGTCAGACCAGGAGCAGGTTCTTTGAAGTCTCCTTCTTTGAAGGAGACCAGAAGTGGAGTAGAGAGAAATTAATACTAATTAGAATGCCTTCAATTTGTGGAATACACTGCAACTTAGAGCACAGTCATACAATTATGACCACATCTGAATTTCTTATTATCTGGGGGAGGTAGCAAGTTAAGAATTAATTTCCCTATTTTACAGTCATGAAAACTGAAGTTGAAGGAAGTAAGTTTATTATCAATAGGCTGCAGTATAAGTGAACGGCGGGGCCTGAACTTGGGCCCACAGCCTCCTTGGGGCAGCTCACTTTCCACCGCACCCCAGTGCTTCACGCTTTAAGTCAGTAAAACAAGAAGTGAAACTGCTGTAGTTCTCTGGGTAGTCAACACTGGTCAAGAGTTTTTCACTGAAACCGTGAATCATTAGGCAAATACATATGCATATATATATTATATATACATATTATATATATATAATATATATATATAATATATATATTATATATATATATACTGAGTGATTTATTCATAACACTTTCCTTTTCATAAAAGGATGTGAGGGAGATTCAAAGTATTCCTGGACAATAAGGGGACTCGACAAGAGCTAGAAAAGCTGGACAAAGGATGAAAAAGAGGAAAGGAAGACACTAGGGGTAAACTTTAGTATCATGCTTCCCCATTCAGACTCCAGAGAGCTTCCCCCACCCACCGTAGTGTTTTGGATAGTCGGAGAGTGTGGCTTCTAGAGAAAGTCACAACTCAGACTTAACCATTTACCATGTCTGTTCCGGGCTTCACGTTTATGAGCGCCTGGCTAACTCCAGTATAAAATGGGGGTGGGCTATTACTCTCTGAGCGGCTGTCAGTATTAAGCATGATTACGTGTATAAGGGATACTATTTTTAGGGAGGACTAATCCTCTGGGATTTCATAAACAGTGAACAGAACGAAATATTGAGTGGTCTTCTCAAAACAAAAAAACCAAAAAACAAAAAACATTTTAGCAATTGCTGTTTTCCCAACCTGTGGGACCAACTAATTAGTCAGTTTCTTTCTGACTCAGCTCCCACCCACAGGATTGTCAGAACCCCAGCCGCCTTTTGGACTTCGTTACCTCTCTAGAAATCACCAGCAGGTTCCTGGAGGGTCTTACACAAACACAGTCCTCCACAAGAATGATCTCCCTCTGTGAGGGTAAGGAGAATGTCTGTTCATCCTTTGCTGCACCAGCCCTGAGCTTGATGGCCTGCACAGAGCAGCCATCTGTTTACTTAAAGAATTCATGAGTGAGTGAAGACCCACCTCTACTGGGAGGCTGTCCTCTGTATCTCAAGGCCCCTAGGATCCAGACCACAGCTCTTTGCTGCACATGCAGTATCTGGGGCTCTAGACTTCTACAGCTATTTCTTGTCTCTGCTGTCTCCATGGATGTTCTCAACCTCTTCCTCCACTCAGTTCCTTAACTCCCAAGTATTCCAAAAGTTACTTTGCAGACGAAGGGAAGAGGACTTCTAATAGTTATCCTTAGTCGCTATATTTAGGTCCTACTCTACCGTTTTATGTATGATATCTGATTTAAATTCACATACCACATTATTATTACCCATTAGGAAACAAAGACTCTGAGGCTATAAGTAACCTATCCAAAGTCACACAGCTGGTAAATACACAGCTTGAATTTAAACCTAGTCTCTCTTCTATCAGCAGGCAATGTGGCTAGGTGGTTTCCCTGCCTTCCCTCCATTTATTATAGAGATTTTAGTATACTGTTCTTTATTTTTATTTTCTCTTCGTATGGCCAGAGCTCAATGCCTGAACCCAGATATGAAGCTGAAACCAAAAGATGGGTGTTGGTTTGAAGGCTGAACTTTATAAGAGATATCAAGCAGTCCATGAACAACCATTTTCTCACAATGGAGGACTAAGCCCTTCCCACTTCAACTCTCTTTTCCAACAGAGTGCATTCTTTTCCAAGATGTTCCCAGGATTTTCATGCAAACAGGTCCATCCAAATGTCCTTCCAGGTGGACCAAGCTGATTCTTATTTATACCAAGTACCCAACACCCTATACTCAGTGATCCTTTCTGCTACATGATTTTAAAAAAGGCTATTCCAAAGATACAGATATAATGAAAAGAAGGGACACATGCATCCCAATGTTCATAGCAGTGTCCACAACAGCCAAACTGAGGAAGGAGACAAGATATCCTTCAGCAGATGAATGGATAAAGAAGATGTGGTTCATACATATGGTGGAATATTCCTCAGCCATCAGAAAGGATGAATACCCACCATTTGCACTGACATGGATGGAACTGGAGGAGATTATGCTGAGTGAAATAAGTTAAGCAGAGAAACACAGTTATCATATGGTTTCACTCATATGTGGAACATAAGGAATAGTGTGGAGGACCACAGGGGAAAGGAGGGAAAACCAAATAGGAAGAAATTAGAGAATGAGGCAAACCATGAGAGACTCTGGACTCTGGGGAAACAAACTGAGGGTTACAGAAGGGAGGGCGGTGGGAGCCTGGGATAACCAGGTGATAGGTCTTAAGGAAGGCACATGTTGTGATGAGCACTGGGTGTTATATGCAAGCAATGAATCACTGAACATCACATCAAAAACTAATGATGTACTATATTTTGACTAACTGAACTAAGTAACTAACGAACTAACTAACTAAAGCTATTCCTTTCCATGTCTTCATTAAATGGCACTGGAAAGCAACTTGATATGGACCTGATATTCATCCTCTGAACTCATCAGCTTTAGCAATGTACCTTAACACAGGATTTAAAGTGGACTGTCTGGAGGAGGAGCAACCTAGCATGAAACTTACACAGGGTTTCCTACTGGCACAATCACTTTCCCTTCCTTTAGCTTGGGTAAATGAGAGGACCCAATCACTCAGAGTACAAGAGTGCGAATTTCAGCCTACCACTTAGGATGCTAATAATCTATTTTGC